ACACATTCACATGAATTGTATATATTTATAATTTAATTAATATCTAGTAGATCTTCTTGTTGTACACAGCGTGGTCACAAGTAAATAGACACCTACCTTTCAAGAAAATTAAATTTTTCACTCACATTCACATGAATTGATATATTTATAATTTAATTAATATCTAGTAGATCTTCTTTTCACTTCGCGGAGTTCGTTGATCCTTTGGGGCATCGTGAGAATCATCTCGTTAATTTTAGATTGTGATATTTTTTCCCACTCTTGCTTCAAAACTTTTTTTGGTTGTTTCTTGACTTGCCGGTCGAGTATGGCCCACAGGTTTTCGATGGGGTTCATGTCAGGAGATTGGCTCGGCCAGGGTAACCTCTGGATACCATTTTCTTCCTGCCACTTTTGGGTGTTTCTAGCAGTGTGACACGGTGCTCCATCTTCCTGGAACAACGTGGTGTTCTTGTCCACGAAACCCAAGGAATAATGTGGCAAGAGTCCTCCCTCCAATATTTCGATGTATTTCGCAAAATTTATGTTGCCAACGCACTCCACTAAGCTCGATCTCCCACCAACCCAAACAGCTCCCCAAACCATCACGCTGAAACCACCATGCTTCACAGTTGGCTGCAATCTGTTGAGCCAAAACTCTTGGTGAGGCATTCTCCAGACCCATATCCTTCCACTATCCGAAAATTGAGGCACACTAATTATCTTGTGCTACAACATGCCTAGAACTCAAGGTTCTCTTGAATTGTCAGATTTTGTTAGAGGAAGGATAGTTGGTCAAGCAGATGGTGGAATAAGTCAGTGGCAAATTTCGCAGAATTTGGGAATCCCACTTTTGACAGTCAACAGAATCATCGTGCAGTTAAGGAAACACGACAAGGAAACAACTGAGCAGCGTCTGGGTCATCCTGGTCCATTGGAGAGGACAAAAAGGGCTGTCAAGAGGAGCATTGAAATGGATCCCAGATTAACAACTGCAGACGTGGCCAAAGTTGGTGGGATGAGCCCGAAATCTGTTCAATGGATTCTCCACAGATTGAGTTATCGTTGCAGAGCAGCTAGACGGAAGCCCTTATTACATAGTCAGACGAAAGAAGTGGGCAAGTGATATGATGACCAAGCCTCTGGACTTTTGGAAGACCATATTGTTAGACCATTTTCATTTATATAGTGCTCTATGGACACAAATTAATTAGCATAAATCAGTTAAATGACGAAAAATTAGGTGTCTATTTACTTGTGACCACTCAGTGTATATACTCTCCTAAAGCAGTAATCTACTGATACTCTAACACCCTTAAACCATTTTAAACATATACATACTCTCTTGAAGCAGTAACCTACTGATACTCTAATGCCCTTAACAATCCACTTTAATCATATATATACTCTCCTGAAGAAGTAACCTACTGATACTCAAATGCCCTTAGCAGTACAATACACAATGTATACAGTGTGTGTGTGTGTGTGTGTATACAAATTTTAAATGACCCATATCATTACCTTATTAGATGATTGCGACAGTCTACTGGAGAACATGACAACATGTGTGGGTACAACACCACAGGTTCTCCACTAGAATCTAGCACTTCCAAGCCAGTAAGCCCAATAGTTTGGGAGTCTCCCCATGTGGCTGTGAAGGTCAAAATCAAGCCTGAAAGCATTAAACACTATTTTACACATAGTTCAAACAATTAATGCATTTTATATGTGGACTGTTTGTCATGCTTAATAAAATTTTCCTTTTGAAAATATTTGCATTCTGATTTGTGCTATTGAAAGAAATATGAGTATATATTTCAAACACAGTAGTTTAACTCCTTTTAACTTTAAGCTTCTGAAAAAATAGGTTTTAAAAATTCACTGAGAGGCCTGTACTGCTGATAACACAGATAAATTTATTACCATTATATTCTAAAACTGTTTATGAATGTGGAACACACTTATCTGGTACAGTAAAACACATGTACCTACCTATGCAGGTTTGTGTCTCTGAAACATAAAACTGGTCATCTCTTTGTTCATCTCTTTTTTTTAGAAATTAGACAAGGACTTACAGTAGGGAATGTTGTACTTGAATATCTATCTATTAAAACTTAAAGATGAGATACATTGTTTGAACATCAAATGTGTGGTGTTCCCAAATTTATTGTCACAACTGTTCCAACATTTAAAAACAAGACAAAGTCTTTAAATGTATACAAAGTTCAGGACCACAACTAAAAAAAAACTTTTAGAAGAAAACCATTATTTCCATTTCTATCACCAGTCAGAGTGTATTGCAGAAATACTATTCTGTCAAATTAAATAACATACATTAAAAATCAAATATAACTGCCTTAGTCAACTATATTTATCAGCAGAACAAAAGAAACAGTTGGATAAAGTTAATAAATCAAAATTTTTTCTTACTGGACCTGTGAGTAAAATTTAACATTTTTTACATATTGTATTTACATTTCTGTTCACTGATACAGTGTTGTTGCTGCTCATTCATTAACAAAAAAACAACTATTGTAATTCCATTGTGGTTGAAAGATTTACTTCTTAAATTTGTAATATAAAGTATATTTTTATTTTAAACAATTTTAACTACCATAATTTAAAAGTTAAAAATAGATAGAAAAACCACACCAATTTGATGTTATGATAAGACAACTGATATCTTTGTATCTGAATATACAAAATCCTCCAGTGTGCCTTTTATTGCATAGTTTATTTAAAGATGCAGGAAATATGGAAGGATATCTAAAAATGGAATGGTGATAAAATACAAATATTGAGAACTTACACTGTCCAATAAACTTTTTGCTTTTTCCCGAGTCCAATACATCCATACTATCTACTGTAAGGGATCGTCTCCGAAACTGAGACTGGGCAAAAGGATTAGCTGTGGTAAAAGGGCGCTCAACCTACATACAGATCATAGATCCAATTGTAGTTAGAATCACTCTGAGCTATTGTATCTGATATACTGACAAGGAATTACACTATAATCAGAAAATCTTTACATATACAGAAGGACATTAATATTACTTTTTGATGCTATTGAGATACAAACTAGACTTCATAGAACATATGTCCAATATCAGAAATTTATTTCTATACACAAAGCAAAACCTTAACTGTAAAAAGAAGAGCAGAAGAGAGTAATGTCTCTTAGATATTAATGCCATTTTTTAACATGCCCTAATCTACTTCACATTAGTAGGTTTAAAAATTCAATTTTAAGTAATTAAGAAAAACTCTAGAGAAATGAATCTATATGAATACACGTCACTGTGTGTGTGTGTGTATCAGTTCCTTATGTTTCCACATTTCTTGATCAATCAGCACAACTTGACACAGCTAGTATGTGTATAATGTTGATAAGTAGACAGACAATATTCTCATCTTTACACTGAAGTTCTTACTCAACAAAAGATTCTACCAAGATGATTAAAGCATCAACAGTTCTTAAATTTTCACTCATCTCCAAGTTTACTAGAAAAAAAACTCAAGCACATGTTCCAGGGGGAGTGAAACTTATCTCCAAGTTTACATGAAGCAAAACTCAAGCACTTGTTCCAGGGGGAGTGAAACTCATCTCCAAGTTTAGAAGAAGCAAAATTCAAGCACCTGTTCCAAACAGAGTGAAATTCAACTTGAAGAAAATCTCAAGCATCTGTTCCAAAGTGTCTTCAGTCATTTTGTCAATGAGTTACACAAGCCTATTCTTGCCTATTCATTCATTAGATACAGTATACTCAACTTAACAAAATATTTTAATATGGATGATACTTTTATTTCAAATTACTAGTTTCATTATAAACATAATATACCCTATTATAAAAACAGATGAGAATTAAATATATATATATATATACTCACTCCACTGTCCTTATTGCCAGTCTGAGGTCGTTCTGTAATGTCTTCTCTGGCAGCTACAGCTGGGTTGATTAGATACTCACCGAACGTCTTGTCGTGGTGAGATATGGCTTCTAATATACCATCATCAGTGGTAAATAAAATAGTCTGAGAGAAGAGTTATAACACTTAATTCTATCTTATATCAGTTCATAAGCAGTATTTTTAGAAAGACAACATTTAATTAAATAAGATATGTTTTCAGTGACAGACATTACATTCTTTACAAATCATAATAATGTTGATATTTATATAATTTAAGAGTATAGGATTGAATACTTTATACTGAAATGATTTTGGGTATGCAATTCTACAAATTATGTTCCAACTACAGCCATTATCATGTTGAGGTGGAACAGCATGTATTAGAGCTACATTTTAACATTTCATAGGTAGTGTGATGCCATCAGAAATTGATCAATTTTGGAAAAGGTGTGTGTGTGTAACAGCCCTTTCCAATGCAAAATGTTCATACATTCACATCATAAAGATTTGTTCAGATTTGGGATTTAGAATTTTCAAGACGGGGATATCTCTTGTACTTAATGCTTACTGAATCAACCTGGTGTCATGACGATCTAGAAAGAGACCTGCAACAAGTCATACTCCAGCCATAATAAGCAAAGTATGGTGTCAAGTTGTCAGATGCAGTGTCTATGGATTTATGTGAGATCAGACTGTTAAATAGGTCATTGGGAAACCATCATCTTCATACATTAGATGGGTTATGGAAAGCATTCAGGGATGGGTGGTGTGCTTTGGTGTAACTGAATGCATATATATGTAAACTAACAGTTGAGTACAAATGTAGTTTCAACGGTAACTGAATATATGTATATGTAAACTAACAGTTGAGTACAAATGTAGTTTCAAAGGTAACTGAATATATTGTTACGCCTCTGGTCGTTTGTTAATTTCCCGTATAATTTCTTTCGGATGAAACTTTAGCGATACAACTCCTTTCTTAAATAAAACTAGTTTATTCTTTCTCAATTGAACTTTGTAATACACTTAATTTCCACAGTCACTTTAAGCACACGCTATAATTCACAATGATTCAAGCACTTACTTACGGTCACTACCGCGCTTGACTCAATTGTCCGTCTTTATCTCTGCCTGTCTGCAATTCAATTCTGATTAATTTGTCTGACGTTATCCAGCGCACTTATATACAGGAATAGAGGGCGCCTAGCACATACTGGATTATTCGTGATGTTCCCCGATCCTTCTAGAATATCATGACGTGTTACAAGCGTCACGTGACTACCGCTGTCGTAACAATATGTATATGTAAACTAACAGTTAAGTACAAATGTAGGTTCAAAGGTAACTGAATACAGGTATATGTAAACTAACAGTTGAGTTCAAATATAGGTTCAAAGGTAACTGTATACACGTATCTATACATTTAAAGCTAAGTACAAATACATGTATACAAGTAAAGAATTCTGGAATATGCATGTAGTAAGAGAGAAGAATCACTATATGTTATTAGCAGGGTACTGCTATACCTACACTATGAATAAAAAATCAATTATTGTGCACTAGAAAATGAGCAGTGCTGTGCATGCTGTATGCACAGACTATTAATATGTGTAACTACCTGCAATAAGTGTCTGATATAGTTGTTCAAACACTTTAAACAAACTACAGGAATATGTATAATAAAATCATCAAATATATGGATTAAAAACAGATAACCATTAATTATAACAACAAAAAGAAACAGTATATATTTATAAAGAACTGAGAACTTCCACCTGTGTTCTTAAGAGATGAGTACTTAATATAATTAACTGTGCTATATTAACAAAAACTAAGTACTTAATATAGTTAATGGTGTTATATCAACAAAAGTTAAGTACTTAATCTAGTTAACTGTGTTATATTAACAAATGCTAAGTACTTAATGTAATTAACTGTGTTATATTAACAAACGCTGAGTATTCAATGTAGTTAAATGTGTCATATAAACAAAAGCAGAGTATTTAATGTAATTAACTGTGTTATATTAACAAACGCTGAGTATTTAATGTAGTTAAATGTGTTATAGTAACAAAAGCTGAGTATTTAATGTAGTTCAATGTGTTATATAAACAAAAGCTGAGTATTTAATGTAATTAACTGTGTTATATTAACAAATGCTGAGTATTTAATGTAGTTCAATGTGTTATATAAACAAAAGCAGAGTATTTAATGTAATTAACTGTGTTATATTAACAAACGCTGAGTATTTAATGTA